TCTTTCCCTGTTCCTGTCTCTGCTTCATGAGCATATTTGCTATGAAGTCTTGTGGTTTCTAAGGTGATATGTTTTATGAGCTGGTGGTTTGAGTCCTAGTGTACCCATCCATGCTGTTTCACCTCTATTCTGAACCAAGACATCATAGCTACAAGCTCCTGGTATCTGCACTCTCAGTACTACAGCTTTCTGTCCAATGTGAGCCTCTCCATGAGACCTTAGAGACAAGGTTTTCCATTCAGTAGGTCTCCAGAAGTGCAGGGCATTGCTCCAGGGAAGCCTCAGGGAGCAGGAGATGAACAGGAGCCAAAATTCACTTGGAAACATCTGATCCAAGACAACAGTGACCAAATCTGTTTGGGGAAGGCTTCTGGGTGGTCCAGGTGTGGCAGTGCATTGAGGTCATGGAGTAAACAAGCCAGAAGGCTGTGGGCTGAGCTTTGTGCCATTTATCGAGTCGTGCACCCTGCTGCATTTGTCCTCTCTCCTTGCCTGTCCCAGGGGCAGGCCACCCATCACTGCGGCGTCTGGGGTCACTGCATGCAGCACACGTGGAAGCACAATGGTTCATGGGCATTAGAGCCAGAACTTGTCTTCAATCTCTTTCCGTCACCACCGTTACCCATGGGGCTATAATTCTTTAGTCAGATCAGTAAGGTTTTAAGCCACAATAAAACACTGAAGGACTTAATTTTAACCCTTCTTCCCATACAGAGATACCTCCATAAGGAGCTGTTATAACACAGGGCTGTTGCATTTGATCATCCACATTCAGTCCAGGGCTCAGCGTGGTGCAAACACTGATTTTGCAAAGTTACGACAGCAAGCACACTGCTTACTTGCAGCAGGAACATGATACACAGATAGCTCCTCTGGCGCTCAGCCTGCCAGCGCCCCGCAGCAGCCTCCTGGGCACAGGGATTACCTACTTGTTTATGACATGGAGGCAGATGACTTGGCTTAGGAAAGAAGTGAATGGCTTAGGCTCACCACGAGCAAGCAGAAAGATGAGCAGTGAAACCAGGACAACTGATGATAATCCTTTGCTTTAAACACTTTGGAAATTACTCTGGCGGCAGCAGAAAGGGAGGGGAAAGAGCAGTTACAGAATGACAGAAGCCTACACCAGTATCATGGTGGGAAAAAGAAGGGATTAGTTCTGTTTTTTTGGTATTTGGTTGGTTGGTTTGTTTGGTGTGTGGTTTTTCTTTTTTTTTTTTTTTAAATAAACTTATTACCAGCATAGATGTGTAACCCAAGAAAAGTTCTATGTCAGGAGTTCATAATTAATTGCTAAATTTTTAACAGGATTATGAAGTGTGAGAAAAGCAACAGAAGTGTTTGTTATAAATGACATACATTGTATATAATTTGTGGTTTTAAAATATTTCCATTTTTAAAATTGTTTCAGCTGCAATTCTCTGATATTCTTCCCAGGTATAAAATGAGTTTCATTTTCTTTTTCTTTCTTTCTTTTTTTTAAGAAAAACAAACAAACAAAAAAACAAACAAACGAAAAAAAAACACCAAAAAAAAACCCTCTTGTATTCTATGCCTGTAAGAAACAGCCATTTCATTTTTGTTGGGTTTTTTTTTATCTTCCCTGGAATAACTGACTTTTTTCCCCCGTAGCACCAACTGAGAATCAGTTTCAAGTGGTGAAACGTATCTCAATGCATTTCTCAAGAGCTAATGCTCTCCCCTAGGCCATCTGCTCCTGTAAAACCTCATGCTGGTAGGCATGTGAAGAAGAGTAATTTTCATTTCATATGGGTGTTGTCAACCATAACTGTCAAAGAGCATTGTGGTCAGTCAGCCCATAGCTTGTGGTCTCACAGACAGGCTTAAAATAAACTCTGCTGTGAACCAAGATAGCTACCCAAACAGTGCCTTTCATAATCATACCAGTTAAATATAGCAACATGTCTTTATGCTTCTCTGACACTGTTCTTTCTTACCATCAGCCTTTTTTTTTTTTCTTTACCAAGTTTGAAGGAGCAACTACTGTTTCAGATTCACTAGACTGAGAACTGAAACCTCCCGGTTCTGCAGCAGATACTTTTGTGTGTGGTCATGTACTTATGGATATACAAACTCTCAAAGAGTTCGCTGAGTCTTTGCCCACACGTAGAATGAGAAGGTTGCCCAGAAAAGTTGTTGGTGCCCCATCCCTGGAGGTGTTCAAGGCCAGGCTGGATGAGGCTTTGAGCAACTTGGTCAAGTGGGAGGTGTCCCTGCCCATGGCAGGGGAGTTGGAACTAGGTGATCTTTAAGGTCCCTTCCAACCCAAACCTTTCTGTGATTCTATGACTTTGTGATAGGTGTGTATGTAATATCACCTTGAGGAATCAAAACAACATACCTTGCAGTAAGGTTTCATGTTTTCTGCCTGCCCCTCTTTAACTGCTTGTGTTCCTTCCAGCTCCAATTCTTGGGGCAATGGAACCTAGGAAGGTTTGGATGTATTTGCTTCACTCATACCTTTGTATTGCAATACCTGGTAATAAATTGATCATTTAACTACCTCATTGCACTCTTCTTGCTTAACCTTTCTCTCCCAAACATACTGCACCAGATATTCCATATTGATGAGCCCTGGCAGAGGCCCTGCAGGATATCTCCAAAAGTTGTCTCTTACCTCTTCCAGCTGTGGCAACTCTACCAAAAAAAGTCACGCATATCCAAATGCAGAAAGAATATTACTGATTCTTAACCCAGGAAATATGTAAATCCTCTCACTAGATGCCATCACAACCTAGTGGTGCCAGAAGAAGGAGCTTTATATTATTACAAGCATGGGCTCCTATAAACTAGACTAACATGGGATTCGTTTTTTGGTTAGGATACTCCTTATGTGTCAGATCTTATTTATTTAGTATCATTACCATTGTTCAACACTCCATAAAAAAGGAATTTTAGTGAATTCTAAGCTGTACTGGGCCCATAGAGGGTGAATGCAGTTTCCCTCAGTGCACTTGAAGGCAGAGATATGAGCTGTTTTGGAAGATTTAAAGGAGGATATCAATATAGAGAGATACCTGCTGGTCATGGGGTTTTTTCTTTCTTTCTTTCTTTAATTTTTTTTTTTTTTACATGACTGTGTCTATTTCCTGCTCCTCCTTTTTCATCAGTGACCAGTTTATCACGTGTCCTGTCATAAACATGGCCAGTCACTGGGCTGCTGCCTCCAGAGGAAATGTCTTCATATACCACGTACCTGAGAGTGCCTCACAGAGCAGGTAAGGAGATGTATTTTATTATGTTTCTTGAATTTAGAGTTTGCAAAACCAGGGCTGTCTCTTTGGGCATCCTGTGGAGTATATGGATAGATGTAGGTATGAACAGTTAGGGTTAGCAAAGGAGGGATTGGGTTTTAATAGATTACTTCACTCTGTTGGCTAAATAGGAATGCTGTTTCTGAAGTGAGGCACTTCAAGGTAGATGTCAAAATTAGGTTCCCCTTTTCCAGCTTACCTACCTTTTCCAGTTCATGATAGTCTTTTAGATTTCTACTCTATATCTGATAAAACTCCCACAAAGAACCAGAATATGGTCTAAGTCATTGGGAGCCCACAGCTCTCAAGGCAAACGGGGTAACATTTTCTAAGGACTCAACATTAATTTAACACTGCCCCCTTTTGAAGTCCGTGCAGTTGTACCACAGCTACACTGACGGGCCTTCAGTGTGGACAGTGTCTGGAATTTATTCCTTCCTGCCCCAGCACTGTTGACTTGTGATCAACTGGAGACTGCCTCATGGGAGGAAAAGTATTTTTGAACACAAGTATTTGCAGACTCAGGCTCTATGTCATCCTTCATCTTAGAAGATTGCTTGAATGCTGTATCATGTTTTAGACAGAAGGGTCTAAATGCTTGTGGAAGATGCAAATGCCTTGTTCCCTTGGACACAGAACAAGCTGGTAGTCAGAGGCTATTAAGGTGACCTTCCCTGGTTTTGTTTGAGACCCAGTCCCTCCCAGAAGTCAAGATGAGACAGTGAGGTTTGCAGGCGGTGGTCAGCACTTTGGGCTGCTATGTGACACCTCATGGTAGCTCCTGGTCCCTTGCTCTCAAGGGCTGGGTGATCAGCAGCTGCAGTGACTGTAGCCCCTCCTGTCCCCTGGATCCGTACACTGGGGCAGCAAAGCGCACAGGGATGTGTCTCTTTCAGCTATGTCCTTAGGAGGGAGCAGTGCTGGTCCCCTGCTCCCTGTACTGCCCCATACCTCTCTCCAGGTGAGATTTTTGAGACCCTTTCCTTTTTCTCAGGCTTTGTCTGAATGGGCTCGGGGAGGAGGGGGGCACAGCGGGGTCCTACTGGCACCATTTGATACTGTGACGTTCCCTGCGAACTACGTGGGTTTTTTTTTTTTTCTCTTTCCTGATAGCATAGTGAAAAAGCATTTGAAAGAAACAAACCAAGATCTAGGTTACAGATGAAGGCCATTATGCTGCAGTAACACAGACTGGCTTTCTTTTTAGCCTAGAAGAAGTTAATCCTCAGGGAGCCGTTATTTCGCTGGCAGCTCCAGCGGGAATGTTCGCAGTGCTCCGTTTGGCTACCTTAGGCTCAGATAAGTGACTTTACAAGGCTCCAAATAGGACTGAACTATGGTATGCCAAAAATCCAGCCTCACAGAAAGAAAAGATGTGTTCTCAAATTAGCTAGCAAGTTTTCTCTTGCTTTGGAGAATGATAGTGACCCAGTCATCTACGATAAGGTCTTATTGGAAAGTAGATTTAGTAGTATTATACAACTTAGACTCACTGGCTTTGAGGCAGTGATTTTGAATTGATGAGAATTTCCTCTTCTGTCTAGCCCTGTTTAAGATTTCTCTTGCACTTGTGTTATTTAGCTCTCCCTACACTCTCCAACGCAGTACTAGCTTACATAGCACTTAGCTATACATTTTAATAATATTTAAGTGGTCAGTGGTCTTCTAAGATAATTACTTTAAATTTTAGAGAAAAACTTATTTCACTTTTTATCATAACACTCTTTAAAAAACAAACAAAGCCAGTGTGCTGTCTGAAATTTGTGGGAACATGAGGCAGAGGCTCAAATGCCTTAGGCTAAGCCTCTTGCAGGGAGAAATGGGCCAAAATTGGTATGATGGCTTTACATTCTTACACATATCATCTTTATTTATGCATAAGTACTGTTAAAGTGAATGTTGTTTAGGTTGCAAAGCCAAACACTTAAACAGAAATAACAGAATTCAGCTAGTCTGCGTACCAGAGGATCTCATTTGACAGTACAATGTGACTGTTTAAGAAATGACACCCTTGTTTTCCCAAGGGACCCCACACGAGGTTCTTTGCTGAATATACTGTGAGTTTTTTGTTTAGACATTGTTGTCATTCATTCCTAAATAAATTCTTCCTTCATCCCATTTTTGCCGTGTGCCTTCCCTCCCTGCTTCCCTCCCTCCCCCTCCTTATAGCATTCCCCTCTCCATATAGTATGTGTACATTGCAAGCTGTCCAGCAGCCTCACTGCCTGTCAGTGATGTGATGCTGTCGAGGGTGGGAGCTTCGCATGGGAGACTGTCCTTATCTGCTAAAAACTGTGAGAAACCATCAGTAACCTGAAACCAACAAAACACAGTGTTTGGGAATATTTTTGGAGATTTGCCCTACCAGATTAAAAACAATGATGTACATGAAACAGTCTTCAAGCAGAATATATAATCTAATTTTGGGGAAAGATCTGGCAACCATGTCACCAGCTCCCAAGGAACTTCCCTAACCACTGGAGTAATGAGTCCTGCCAGTTCTCAAGTTCTTCTTTGAAAACTGTGACTCTCCTTAGGAGGAGAAGCAGAGGCAGATAGTCTGCCAAGTAACTTATGGCTTAGGCTGGAAGTTAGGATATGTGGGTTTGAACTTCCTCAGGAGAAGTGAGAATTGAATCTGAGACCCTGCAAACAATCTAGCTATTCAATTCCTGAATAGAAGAACCCTCTTACAGAGATTTCTTTCTGTTAGTGAATGCAATAACCAACAGTATGTTTTGAACCTAGTAGGCATGTACAGGATATTCTGTGAGTACATGTACTGGGTCAGATCCCCTTCAGTGCATTATAGCTGAGGAACACCTCACCAGATATTCCTGATCACTCATAGGCATTTGACAGAAAAATTATTTCTCAGCCTGTTTGAAACTGAATCACATCTGAGTTTGCTGAGATACAGACCTCTGCTTGTAAGAATCTATTCTTTCCATAGGGTAATGTAAGAGACAAAATAATGACTTTTTTGATCTTTGTTGTCTAAATTCTTCCTAAAATCTCAGTTTACACAGGATATGGACCTTTCCCTCTTTGTTTTTGTTTTCTGTATCATAAAGATGACCATGATGATAATAATATATATTATCTATAAAAACTACTAGTGGCTACCTCACAGAGGTATTGGAAAGAGTACATTAAAATAATATTGTGTTATAGCTACAACAATGGAAGACTGTTTAGTCTTAGATAAAATATTCTGTCTGGGGAAGTGGCCATTCACTAATTAAGATAAGGCAGAGTATAGCAACACATTCTCTGATTTCTACTCTGTCACTTCTCTCCTACTTTATGTGTGTCTCCCAAAATGTGTAACAAAAAAGAGTTAAAATGCAGATATGAAAAAGTGCTGGTACTTCCTCTTCTTTCACAGGGAGCAGTCCCATAGTAACTCCCAGCAAGATAAACAAGAGGGAGGAAGAAGTCAGCTAGTAAAGACAGACCCAACTGCAATTGTGCAAAGTAGACAAAATGTTATTAAACAGGGAGGAATTTTTACCAGTACAAGTTAATTAGCAAAAGTTTGCCTCCCAACTGAATATTTCTAAAATGTATACACATACACACATTCAAGCATGCATAGGTAGAGGGGTAGGATTAAAAAGGCCACTCTGAACTGATGTCTATGACATATGTGGAAAATCACATAAAACCATGAGCTGACAATTTTCATATAGATGAATGGATCTTGCAGAGAGCAAACTCTTACGTCCTTCCACGTGGTAGCATTCTCCCCAGCTTGGCGTGACACCATGTCTGCTTTAGTCTTCAGTTCCTATTTGAATAAGGAGCAGGATGCATAGCCAACCCCTGTATTAATGATCTGTGGTAAAAATATATACCTAACCCAGATGCCATTTTCTCACTCTCTTTTTGAGAATACTTAGGCCTTGGAGTAAACATTTATTCTAAACAATGTGGGAGGAATGTGACTGCTCAGCATTGCCCAGGGTTAGTGGGGAGGGCTGGAGTATAGCTGTAGTTACAGTAAGAAATATGTGATAGGAGAAGTATGTTTTGACAAGGATAATATTAACTGTACAAAGATTTGCCTCGTTAACCCTTCAGTAGATTTCTGGGTGATTTTTGTATATTACATGAAGTAGCACTGCTTGCCATGCCAACGTAGTTTCCAAGTCATGCTGTGGTGCCAAATGTGCCGCCTTAGAGATGAGATGGTGGATAAAAAAGTAGAGCACTGAGGAGGGCAGGTCATCACCTGCAGCAGGATGGCAAAGCATCATTATTGCCATTGAAGGGGTGTAAACTAAGACTTAATGAGGCTTTATCTTATAGTCATTAACATTACTATAATAATTGTCACAAAAGCTTTTGTTAACTGTTGTGCACTGGACAGATCCATCCAGGATTAATGAGCTGCTGTGTGTTTTAAGACACTTTAGTTGGGGCTGTCTTTACCTCCTGACTATGTTTGTGTACGTTGGTGTCAGTTGAAAGACTGCTCCGTGCCAATACTCACATAGTTGGCTGGATTTCAGTGACACTTTTTATGATTCCTGTAACTGAAGGCAAGAACTCCTGACTGATAAAAAAATATAAAAGTTTGTGTATAAACCCATTCAACTATGTATTTTTGTTTTCTATTTGTTATATATGCTGTGCTAATTTTGGCTGTTCTTAAAATCCCTTTAATTAAAGGAGATTTTATACCCTTTTGATTTTGTAATAGTCATATCCCTGTCCTTTAATCTGTCCACCACTTGTCCACTTCAGGCTCTCCACCTGACAGTAGCTGTTAGTCCATGAGTACCATCACCCTATAGGCTGGGGGGCCACAGTGTGAACTGGGTGCTGTGGAGGCAGGTAGAAAGTTACATCACTGGGCTTCAAAGAAACTCATCTAAACACAGAGGGCAGATAAGGCACCAGTGATATGGTAACAAGAACGATAAGATGCATGTTGCCTCCATAGCTGGGCAGGCACCATG